AATGTACTGTAATTGGTGCAGCAATATGTATACCTATATTTACCACATAAAATTTATTTGTAATACACTGATAAGTATTGCAATGTTATCAACAGTGGTGCCAAAACCTGACCATTAAGAAATCTTTCTCTATTTAGTACAGAACACTTTTCCATTTCTTTGGTCAGTGACACAGATAAAAACTGGAGTGCACGTATCCCTAGCTACTTCCACATACTGTAGGAAACCCTCACCCTGATGATCACATAAGACTAACTAGAACTACCTGTAGACTGTAGTAAGAGTTATTACATGTAATTACATTGTACATGTACATGTATATGAAACAAATAACATAGCCCTTTTGATTGCCTTTGAATCAAAATCCTATTTGTTGGTCACACAATTTTTTCCATGTGTCAAATAAAATGTCAAAGTGATGTTACAATGAGCAGAAGTTTAAATGAACACAAGTTACAATTTATCTTTCCTTACCCTGTGGATTTTGTGTTCCTTCTAAACTGATCCCCAACCCTCCACCTGATTGGAATTTTGATATATCTGCAACCTTTTGACATGCACGTAATAAAAGTAGTCACAATCACTGCTGACACCCAAATGGACAGACAGATGGGAAAAGTAAGGAAGAGGGGAGGAATTCATAAAGGACAAGGAGATGGAGAGCTGATGCAAAAATGACTAGCACCACCTTGATTATTAATATTACATACAGAAATGATTCCACCACATCTTACTCACCAAAATATCCACACTATCTCCAAGCAGATTGCTGTAATGCTCCTTAACACTTTCTGGGTCTGTAAAAGTGAATATTTTTGTTCAATTACATTTTTCACTACAAGTTAAAATTAAAAATCCTAGAAATTAAAAATCAGGAAGCTCTGTAGGAAAGGCCTATGATAATTAACTTCCAAANATAAAAGTAGTCACAATCACTGCGAACACACAAATGGAGAGACAGATGGAAAAAGTAAGGAAGAGGGGAGGAATTCATAAAGGACAAGGAGATGGAGAGCAGATGCAAAAATGACTAGCACCACCTTGATTATTAATAATACATACAGAAACGATTCCACCACATCTTACTCACCAAAATATCCACACTATCTCCTAGCAGATTGCTGTAATGCTCCTTAACACTTTCTGGGTCTGTAAAAGTAAATACTTCTGTTCAATTACATTTTTCACTACAAGTTGAAATTAAAAATCCTAGAAATTAAAAATCAGGAAGCTCTGTAGGAAAGGCCTATGATAATTAACTTCCAAACACACTCTGTGTTCATGTATGCTGCACACCAAGTGTCCTTGAGAGCTGAATGGTTTTCTTTTACTTCAGATAGTGACACATTGCACACGTAACCCATACCAGTCTTTGGTTCCAGAGCAACTGAATCCACATGCACCACAGATGCGTCAGCTAGACTTGCACTGGACTGCGCACTCAGTGAAGCTGTTGCAGTAACCTCATCTACAAAAGATGGTTACAAAAACATACATCCACATGTGACTAACACTTGAACGACCTCATGAAGAGATGGTTGAATGCATTCCTAGGAAGAGTGGTGGAGGTTTTTAGTGCTGCAAGTAAGACATCAGACACTTTTCCTCTGTGCTAATCCCTGGTGAAAATCTTTTGAAGATCTTTAAGGATCTTCAAAGATATTCATTAAAATTGTTGAGGATCCTATTGATAAGACCTTAACAAGATCTTTGAAAATTCTTGCCAAGATCCTCAAAAGAGTTTAATACAACTCTGTATGCTTGTCGGCATCTGCAAGGATCTCAAACGATATTCATCTTTCTTGTCAGGATCTTTGAGCATCTTTGAGGATCTTGATCTTTCTAGCCAAGATCTTAGAGGATCTTCGAAGATATTAATGTTATTTTATTTAAGGATCTTCGCAAGATCTTTCAAATATATTTAAGAATC